CTACAACACGGCATGACATATGAACTTCAAAAGCAAGAAATAAAAATGTTTGTTACTCTTAATTTTGGATGTATTTACTCTTAAAACAGAACACTTTCGGGGGCCCTGCGGAAGTATATCTAGTAATATTGTAATCTATTTTATGTTAAATAAATCAAAATACCTTTCATGTTTTGTATCAATATAAATATATGCATAGTTGTGATTTGAAACTAAAATGAAACGTGGAGAAGCCCCAAATCAACATTTTTATGTGTTTATGTACATTTTGCATTCACATTCACGTTTTAAAAGTTCGAGTTCTTTATATTTCAGTCACAAATGCATTTATAATCACTATAATTCTGGCCCCGTATCTGATTCACCTGGGAGAGTTTAAAGCCGGAACTGTTTTAAACAAGTAACATCAGATCAGACAGTCCTTGCTGTTCTTGGTGACCGAAGTTCATGTTGAAGAGAAATATTGACATGAACTATAAACAAGTAACATCAGATCAGACAGTCCTAGCTGTTCTTGATGACCGAAGTTCATGTTGAAGAGAAATATTGACATGAACTATAAACAAGTAACATCAGATCAGACAGTTCTTGCTGTTGTTGGTGATTGTCAACTGTTCTTTTATGTTTAGGGTCAATGACCAGTCATTTGAATTTCAGATTACGTGACTGACCATCAAAAACATAATTTGTATAACAATGATCTGTTATGAACTGTTAATATTAATGTACCAGTGCAGGAATCCAATGTTCCTATACCATGGTAAAGACTTATTATACCAGTGTAGAAACTATTATTGCCCCAGTGTAATAACTGTTAATATTAATGTACCAGTGCAGGAACCCAATGTTCCTATACCATAGTAAAGACTTATTGTACCAGTGCAGGAACCCGATGTTCCTATACCATGATAAAGACTTATTATACCAGTGTAGAAACTATTGTTGCCCCATTGTAATAACTGTTAATATTAATGTACCAGTGCAGGAACCCGATGTTCCTATACCATGGTAAAGACTTACTGTACCAGTGTAGAAACTATTATTGCCCCAGTGTAATAACTGTTAATATTAATGTACCAGTGCAGGAACCCGATGTTCCTATACCATGGTAAAGACTTATTGTACCAGTGTAGAAACTATTGTTGTACCAGTGCAGGAACCCGATGTTCCTATACCATGGTAAAGACTTATTATACTAGTGTAGAAACTATTGCTGCCCCAGTGTAATAACTGTTAATATTAATGTACCAGTGCAGGAACCCGATGTTCCTATACCATGGTAAAGACTTATTATACCAGTGTAGAAACTATTGTTGCCCCATTGTAATAACTGTTAATATTAATGTACCAGTGCAGGAACCCGATGTTCCTATACCATGGTAAAGACTTATTGTACCAGTGTAGAAACTATCGTTGTACCAGTGCAGGAACCCGATGTTCCTATACCATGGTAAAGACTTATTGTACCAGTGTAGAAACTATTGTTGTACCAGTGCAGGAACCCGATGTTCCTATACCACGGTAAAGACTTATTATACCAGTGTAGAAACTTTTTACCCTCCCTGTTTTTTATGACCCATGTTTCTAAATTTAAAGCTTTAACAGAATCCATTAGAAGTAATTTATGTCCACGTGATCGTTAAGCCGTAATAACACAGCAGACGGTATAGTGTTTCCAGTTCTACTTCGTGCTGGTGCTGTATATCAATGACTCATTATAATGTATATCAGTGTTTGTTTTACCCGATTACGTATTCGATGATAGGCAGAATATGAGCCTGTAAGTCTCTCCTTCAACCTTTTCAAATAGACGCTTACAGTTCAAGTTTATAACGTTCTTTGCCCCCTTTTTTTTTCCATTATTAATTAGCATTAGAAATTAACGACGATTATCGCGCCAATAAAAGGAGCCTTGTTTTATACTATTTTATCTTTGCTTGTATATTTGTGTATTTTGTTAGGAAACCTTTAATTTTCCTCCGCACTTTAGCTTATGAAGTTTCGCCAGTTTAATGTAGCACTAACAGCGCAGAGAATTTTATCAGTGAACTTTTGATGAATGGTTTTCTCCACTTCGCCGGAGTGCTTATAAACATCGCATCCGTCCTCCTTAACGGTCGTTATAATGTTATTACTAAGAACATTTAAAGAGTTTGTCTTCTTTTATGTAGAAACGGCCATCAAACTCATTAATTTACTGGTTTAGCTGAAGTGATTCTGCCCATTTGTCAGCGAGAAACGTTTACGTAGACGCGAAGTTATTATTTTCTTAACCCCAAAATAACCTTTTTATTCATCTTTATTTCGGAAAAGACCGTGTAGATAATTGCTTGTTTGGAAAGTCAAGAGTTCTCAGTAACTGTATATTTCAATTCCACAAACATTCGCCCTTAGAATCAATAGGATTCTTTTGTGAATAAGTTACAGTATTTCTGCTCCTATGGCAGATTTAATGATGTTTTTGCACATTAGCTTGGTAGTAATAGCCGTCAATATACCGTCTTGTAACACCTGTTAGAGGAATATTGGTTTCAGTGCGTAAACAACGACGACGACAACAAAACAAGAGGGTAAATACCTTGGTAGTAATAGCCGTCAATATACCGTCTTGTAACACCTGTTAGAGGAATATTGGTTTCAGTGTGTAAACAACGACGACGACAACAAAATAAGAGGGTAAAACAGATGATACTTTCAGTAGTGTACTTTCAGAACTAACACCAACTTGACGAAGGAAAACGGCGTGTTTCAAACTTATGACTTGTCTACTGTTGACGTGATCGCTGTGTTTTGATATGGCTGTTTTCTCCTCGTTTTAGTTAAGGAATCTGATAACGTAAGAACATTTGCTTTTCGCTTGGTCATTTTGTTTTGTGGTCCGGCATGGCCAGGTGGTTAGGGCGCTTGACTTGCAGTCTGAGGGTCGCGGGTTCGAATCCCCGTCACACCAAACATGCTCGCCTTTCAGCCGTGGGGGGCGTTATAATATGACGGTCAGTCCCACTATTCGTTGGTAAAAGAGTAGCCCAAGAGTTGGCGATGGGTGGTGATGACTAGTTGCCATCTATCTAGTATTTTACTGCTAAATTAGGGACGGCTAGCGCAGATAGCTCTCGTGTAGCTTTGCGCGAAGTTCAAACCAAACCGTTTTGATATGACTGATTTTTTCGAGTGTCAGTTGAGCAATTTGATATTTATAAAACCTGCCTTATTTATAAGGTCGGGGAAGCGACGTTATAATTAATCAGTCATTAATACACAAATGTGTGTACATTCTTTGAAAGTTAGCGTATATGAAATATATTTGTCCGCTAATTTTGTTCACTATTTTGGTAAGTAAGTAACACGAATTATACTGAACTTTAAACTAATAACAGAGGATGGTTCATAAAAGCATAAGTTTAAAGATCGTTAAACAAACGTGATAAAGGACTGTTATTGTTGCACGAGACTCGCCAAACAACAGGTATCTTAGACACACTTATAATAAACACGCATCTGTCCTGTTCGACTGATGTAGCCATATTTGATACACTCATTATGAGTTTTATTGTAACTCCGCATCTCTGGTCCTCTAGTTTACGTACTTACAACCCTAAAATCCGGGATTCGATTTCCCGCGGTGGACAGAAGTAGGTAACCCAATGTGACTTTGCCCTGAAACAACCAACCGCATCTCTGCGTAGAAGAAGAAAAGTGAAATGTATAGTTTTAACTTTTTTTGTTTTTAGTCTAAAGTTTACTAACGACGGTGTGTTCTCTCTATCGTAGATAAAACAAAACAGTCATGTAGACACCTCAGATGTCATTCTACTAAGAAAAGTCTGTATCTTGTCGAGACCCTGAGCTGCGAACTCTGCCAGTACGACGAAGATTAAGAGGTGCCACTTTAGAAAAACAAATACATAAAACCCAGCAGCTTAACCATGAACCCGATGTGTCCCGGAGACCCAGGAGCGGCTATGATGAGTATGATGACCCACAGTCACCACGGCGGAAGTCCCATGATACACATGCAGCCCCAACCTCATCCAGCACAACACTCCACAACTACAAGTACCGGCGGAGGGCGCTCCTGCGCCGGATGTGGTGGCAAAATCATGGACAGGTTCTTGTTACATGCTATGGATAGATATTGGCACACAGGATGTCTGAAATGCTCGTGTTGCCAAGCGACCCTTGCTGACATCGGAAGTTCGTGTTTTACAAAAGGTGGAATGATCCTCTGTAAAAACGATTACATCCGGTAAAATATGTTAATATATATTATTAATATTAATAGTATTATAATTAGGCCTAACTTAAAATATGTTAATATATATATTATTAATATTAATAGTATTGTAATTAGGTCTAACTTAAAATATGTTAATATATATATATATTATTAATATTAATAGTATTATAATTAGGCCTAACTTAAAAATGTTAATATATATATATTATTAATATTAATAGTATTATAATTAGGCCTAACTTAAGATATGTTAATATATATATTATTAATATTAATAGTATTATAATTAGGTCTAACTTAAAATATGTTAATATATATATATATATATATTATTAATATTAATAGTATTATAATTAGGCCTAACTTTATGTGCTAAATATTCACGAAAGTTGTCGCATACTTAGTAAAAAATAGACGCGACTTGTTGCAGACTAATTATTATATTTCGTTTTGTTGTTGTCTAATGACTTTTCTTGCACACCATGATACGAGCCATTTGGCAGATAAAGCTACAAAACGAGTTTGTTTATGAGGTATAAATTATTTGTTTGTCAATAGCATTGGTTATATTGTTCTATTTTTTCTTCATTTCATAAAAGGCAACAGAGAAGATGTATGTGGTATATTTTGTAATAACAGTTGCTAAAACTAATCTCTATGCAACTAAAACAATGAAGCAATGAACCATTAGTTAAAGAAGTTGTACATACATCCCTCACAAAGTCGCTTCGTATGCAGTTGATACTTGAAAGAGTATTGGAACCAAATAATTTTGATTTTCACAGGTTTAGGCAACGACGATAAAATACATTGTTTAATCGGCCAAAGAGTGAGCTGCTGATCCTAAATACATAAGACCGGAGAAATGTTGATAAGTGCAGTTGTAAGATGAGATACGGTCACCATAAAACAAATCGTTTAGCAGCTGAGTAAACAATTACTACATCTGATTGATTATATCGCTAAAAACTGGTTTCAATACCCGTGGTGGGCACAGTACAAATATCTCATTGTGCAGATTTGTGCTTATAACAATAAACAAACAGTATGTTGGTTTATGGCGTGTAGTAACTCTTGTTTTCTGACATCACTGGAACTGCATGATCATCCTATTCACTGTGGGCAGTGGCATTACAAGTGACAGGGCGATTTCTCGCGAAAAATAAATTTCTTGCTAACTATGTGACTTCTTGAAGATATGTTTAATTTGCGGGATCTTTTCGCTTGTACAATAACTGGTTCGTATTTTTTGGCCTGTACAGAGTTATACTTGTATTTACATGTTGGCACTATTTGCATACGAAGTCATTTATATGATCAATTTGTATCCTCTGGTCTAAACACTTATTAGTCAGTCCTCAATCAATTTTTGAAATGTTATACATGCTTATTCATTTGATAAGAGCTACACAAAAGGCTGATTAAGCCATTCTGATACTCATTTCCCTGTCATGTTCATGATTGGAAATGGAAAAGCAGCGCTCTCTGATGTCTGTTTGTGATATTATAAAGCGTTGCTTACATTTTTCTAAAACTGGTTTGATACTTGGATTGCGTATAAACCTCATTCTTTTAAGGGTCGCTATTAATCCCATTTCGTGATTTCTGTGCGTGGGTTTTTACGCTGTTATGATTTGTTAATAGTAGTTAAGCCTTACGAGCACGGTATGTTTTCTAATGCTACTTCGATTTTTTTTAGCGTTTTCTCTGTGTGTGTGTGTTTCTTATAGCAAAGCCACGTCGGGCTATCTGCTGTGTCCACCGAGGAGAATCGAACCCCTAATTTTAGCATTGTAAATACGAAGACTTACCGCTGCCCAATCGGGGGACTTCCATTCTGTGGTTTCTTACTGCTTAACTCGAAGTTGCAAACAGCTGCCATATATCTGTAAAAACTATAGATTGGGAGACTGACTAATTTGTTAAAAATACGCCTCTTGAAACTCTTCCGAAACGGGAAAAGTTTGTTATATTCTTCAAAACTTTTTCAAATGCTGTTACAGGAGTTTTAAAATATGCTAAGAATTATTTTTAAAAAGTACATTACAGTGTTTTTAAGAGAACTTTCCCGTGCGAGTTTTGAAACAAACTTTTAAAATACCAGTTCGGGTTTGTTTAGAACGTAATTCAGGAACCGACAGACGTTCATCATAATTAGAAGAATATTATGATCAGTTAATGGAAAAATCAAGTTCTTGTATTTTATGATTAATGGATATTAATCACCGCACTTTTAAAATAAAACGTTGATGAATAATGAAACTACCAAGTTGACATCGACCTCGTTGTATCTCTGTGTGTGTGTGTGTGTGTACGGAATGTATGGCAGTTTTTCTGGTGTTTTCTGTTTTAATAATTATAAATTTCATTGTAAATAGGGGGAACATTTTATATGGAACCAATTTATATTACTACGATCAAACAAGTTTCGGTTATGGATATGAGCAGCGGATTTATTCGTTGTTTAAGACTCATAACGTTGATAAATTAATATGTAGAATTATAAACGGACTTTTCTCTACGTTGAAATACTTTTATTGCGAGTTTTCGTCCCTCCTACCTCGTCATCGGGCAACAATGTATTGTTGCCCGATGAAGTCGCCGGTAAGAGGGTCGAAAGCTCGCAATAAAATTATTTTAACGTAGAGAAAAGTCCGTTTATAATTCTACACAGCGGATTTATTTGTTACTCTTTAAGCTGGACTTTCTTGAATTTTTTTAGTACTTTTCACGATTGATGTGGGAGTTCGTTGATGTTTGGTTGTTTCTTATATTCGCGCAAAGCTACACAAGGACTAACCGTCCTTAATTTGGTACTCGGGATATTCTAATCGAATAGTAGGGTTTCAGTTTCGATGTTATAACGCGCTTTCGGTCCTACAGTGAGTAGCGCGATTTTGCGGCAAGGGGACGTGAACCGTGGACCATCACATTTACAGTTCAGCACACTAACCACTAGGCCACATTCCGATCGTCGGCGTGTAAACAGGGGCTAGAGAGCTTTGGTGCGTGTAATTGTCACGCTATATAATCAAGCCACGTTTTAGGCACTTCATTAAAAGAAATGTTTTATTGAACAAAAACGTATATTTACTAAATATTTCCACTTCTTGAATTTTCTGCACGAAACGAAGTTAGACTCGCGTATAATATTTATAGTTCATTTCAGTTTTGTTTTTTGAAAGAAATGACACGTCCCACCTCATGTTGTCTTTACGCTAGCGGTGTAATTGTCAAATAAAACGACATACACAAGTTAGCCATCTAGTGATACTTTCGGGAAAAAGTTTAATTTTTTTTTATTTATTATATCAAACAATGTTACATTTAATCAACTAAGTAAGTTTTACTGATGTTAATATTTCAGTTTTTTGTTTATATATGTGTGTGTTTTTTTGGGATCGTAACAACACGATTATTAAGCAATACGCTATTCTTTGTGCTAGCCAGTTCATTTGGATCGTAACAACACGATTATTAAGCAATACGCTACTTTTTGTGCTAGCCAGTTCATTTGGATCGTAACAACACGATTATTAAGCAATACGCTATTCTTTGTGCTAGCCAGTTCATTTGGATCGTAACAACACGATTATTAAGCAATACGCTATTCTTTGTGCTAGCCAGTTCATTTGGATCGTAACAACACGATTATTAAGCAATACGCTACTTTTTGTGCTAGCCAGTTCATTTGGATCGTAACAACGCGATTATTAAGCAATACGCTACTTTTTGTGCTAGCCAGTTCATTATTTCGTTCTTACTTCATTGTAAAAATCCTTTATTTGGTGGTAGGTGGAATTATCTTCAATTTCTGTTTATTAAGCACAAAGCTACACAAAGGGCTATCTGTACGCAGATAGCGTATACCCCGGAGTATAAGTGGGTTATTCAAGATATTCCTAGTCTAATCCCTTATGAGAAGCCAAAGATAATATAGAAGCAGAAGTTTAGCCTAAACACAATATGCGCAACGTTAAACCAAAAATCAAATGATCGTGAATTATGGTGCATCCTTATAATACAGATATTTTTTAAAGCACTCGACTTTGTTCATTTTTTATTGCATATCCTTAGCTTGATAGTCATGCAAGTGACAATGGTTGTAATATTTAAGTTATCTGCTGAGCAGAGCACGGGCATATGGAAACCCTAGCAGTATAAGTCCAGACATACCGCTATGCCATTTCTTTAACATTCTTTCCTTAAAACGTGTGTTGTATAAATGAACTACTGGATTTCTTTTATAAAAGAACGTATAAAACATATAAAATTCTATAAGTAGTTAATTGTTTAGCTTCTTTCTGCACTATTGAGTCGAGCGTGGCCCACTGGTTAACGTGTCAAACTGGCGAGCTCAGAGATTCCGTGGTTCGCGTCCCGTTACCGCCAACAATAAAAACAACAATAATTCGCTTTTCTGAATATGAGGCTCATTATAAGACTGGCGATCAGATGACACTATTGGTTTGACAAGAGTAGCCCAAGATTTGGCGGTGGGTTGTGTTGACTAGCTTCCTTTCTTCTGTTGACCTTGTCTATCAGTTTAAAATTAGGGACGGTTAGTTCAATTAATACTTGAGTAGCTTTGAGAGAAAAAAATAATTCAATGATTTAGCCTTAAATTTTCTGTTTAACTTTGTCTTGTTAATAACAGGAGTTGCTACTCTTTTTCTGTATTTATGGACAGACTTTTAACTTTGTCTTGTTAATAACAGGAGTTGCTACTCTTTTTCCTGTATCAATGGGCAGTCTTTTAACTTTGTCTTGTTAATAAGAGCAGTTGCTACTCTTTTCCTGTATTTATGGACAGACTTTTAACTTTGTTTTGTTAATAACAGGAGCTGCTACTCTTTTCCTGTATCAATGGGCAGACTTTTAACTTTGTCTTGTTAATAACAGGAGTTGCTACTCTTTTCCTGTATTTATGGACAGACTTTTAACTTTGTCTTGTTAATAACAGGAGTTGCTACTCTTTTCATGTATCAGTGGGCAGTCTTTTAACTTTG